TGTTATGCATGCTGCTTAGTTGATGTGATATGAATGCATGTGACAATGTGTGGCCCTTGTACGATCCTGGCTTGTTGTATGAGTATTGGAATGTAACTGAATGAATTGTATGACATGAAATACGGTAAGTTGCATGATACATAACTCCGCTAGGAATATGTATGATATGTAATGAAATGAGAATGAGAATGAGAATGACATGTAAACATGAAAACGTGACACGGGATTATGTTCATTAAATGATGACTGTAGGACTAGTGGGACCTCATGCATATTGTGTGATCATGCATTTGGGGGGATACCCCTATCCCATCACGAGGGTACAGACGCGTACATCCAAATGGCAGGACAACGATCGTTATGCCCTGCATAGCGCTGCCGTGACGGTTTTAGTTTTAACGGGTCCCGGTGGGCCCCAGAGCATGCCCACCGGCTAGGGACAGTGGCCTAGCGGTATGCGAACTATCTGGTGAGCTCATACTCGCACGTATGGGCTGCGTGTAGAGTATATGGTACACGTCCACGATTACCTGTTAGGATTACACCGTAGGGAAAATGAAACGAAACGAAACGAAAAAGAAACGAAACGAAATGAAACGAAACGAAAGATAGGTCCCATCATTTTATTGCATGTGATTGTTGCATTTAACCCTAATAGTGGGGTCACTTACTGAGTATTTCTTTAAATACTCAAGTCATGTGCTACTACATTTTTCAGGTTAAGGCAAAGCATTCCTGTACGGCTGACGACGGCATCGCAACTCGAGATCATGGCACATGCATAGGATAGTGGTATTCATTTTCTTAGACTTAGGATAGAATAGGACGCTTATTTATTTTATTTCGGGTCTTTTGTTGTGTCGTTTTAAAGATATTTTCGAAACACGTAAGTCCATGGCCGTGTTTTTAAGTTAAAGGTTATGTTTTATGAAATTTAAATGAAGTCTTCCGCATTCAATGTTTATGGTATGTATACAGTAGCGACCTTAAATTAAGTAGAAAATTTTGGGTCGTTACAGTAGGAGTGAATTCCATCTTGCACCCCACGTCCCCAGCCATTCACCCAGTCTTACCCCTAAAATGGGAGGCCTATTGAGTCGGCGAACTAGAGTCACTCTCATCCATGCAAATCTAAGGATAATTCCGAATAAACAGGAGTTCATGGTTAGCTTAGGATTAAAACCGAGTTATCTAGGTTATCGAATGAAAAGAAAATCAGTCTCAACAGTAAACGACATTATAAAGTGTGAGTGGTTTTCTTTATGGTCTGATCTTATGCAATACACATTGCATAGGACGTCCCCACTCACATGTCTCCACATGTACAATTTAGTGATCACATTGTTTATATCATACAAAAGTAGGCCGCATCATAGTGTCCCCATAATAAGGTACTCTTCCTTATCCTTATACTATAGATCATTTTGACTATATACTTGAACTTGATCCACTCTTATGTCTCTACATATAGTTCAAGTAATCATACTATAGCCAGAGTATTCTTAGTTTATTGGATTTAGATTAATGATCGTAAAGTTCACTTTATTCAATAACAATCTTTACTGAATAAACAACAATAATAAGTTTATTGAAAAGAGAATATGTTTTTTGTTTACAAACTATGAGTTTTAGGACATAAAACCTAACATAATACTCCTTAAGTGGCCCCATTATAGGGGTCATGCAAATACAAATGCAAACACATGCAATCATGATTTAGGGACCTATCTCTAACATCATAGGAGTGGCCTCCTCTAGTCTCGGACAAATTGGATTTGTAGTACTTCCCTACACACGACTCACACGTGCGAGTGTGAATCTCCAGGGTGCTTGCACACACTGTGGACCTTCTGGTTAAGCTAATCTGTAGCAATGTTCGGAGGTCAACGGAACCCCATAGTATCCGCACTCATCATCTCTAGGGTAAGTAACCCTATGTTTATGAACATACAATATGCATGAGGTCCTTCTAAATCCATCATAATGTTTCTTTTGATACAACCCTCTAGTCTCATCTCTTTGTTACTCTAGGTAACACATACTCATGGATATTTATATTAATATCATTTTCACGCTCTTAGGGTTGTGTCCTATGTCGATCTAACGACATGATGCAATATGGCACTCATCATCATATAGCATGCTCAATATGGAAAACATCATCATATTAAGGTAAACGTCACGCAATCATCATACTCATCATATTGCCACAAAGTGCATCAAACATATCAAGTACGACATTCATCAAAATATATATATACTGAGCACATCATCAAGTATCGTAACCCACACATCATCATAACTCATATATCGCATTGTACGACATAGTTCATAGTAACCCACACATCATCATAACTCATATACCGCATTGTACAACATAGTTCATACATCATCGTAACTCATACAATTTTTAGCCTATCCTATAGTAAGGTCACTTACCTGATTAGCTTAGACTGGTATCACCAATTTATCAAGTTCGATTTTGTTCTTTGTATCCAAGCCAACCTATATGAACCATGACATCAATTTCAATTTCAATTTCAATTCTCTAAATTTTACAATAGTCCATGTGTTAAACTTCATGTGAGCATTAGAGACTTTATGAGTATTGAATATATATATATTTCTCGTTGTCCCTTTTACCTTATGTATTTACTCTGTCAAATTGTTTCTTCTCACCAAATCTTCTTTTCTTCTCCACTACTCTCTCTTTTCTTTTTTGTATTTACTTAGTTAAATATATATATTTTCCTTCACCTCTCTCTTTTCCTTTCTTTCTTTACTTAATTAAATATATATTTTTTCCTTTACCTTTCTCTTCCCTTCTTTAAAATCTCTTTATTTAATTCTTTTCAAACCTCTCGTTTAATTCTTTTCTTCCCTGTTTAATTCTTTTCTTTTTTTATTTAATTTTGGTAGCAATTTAGTAAATGAAAAGGAGATCTATTCTAAATAATTGTACAAAGGGGAAGATCCATGATCTCATTCAAAGATCAGACAAGATCTGACATGATTTCTAACTGCTAATTAAAATCTAAATAACCGGGTAATGGAGGAGGAGATCTGATCCTAATTAATTTCATAAACAATTTTGATTTTTTCTTTTCTTTTCTAAAACTATCCTAAGGATTTTTTTTTAATTAGTACTTCAATAAGTTTGATTTTTTTTATAAGATATCTAAAATCTAAATAATTGAAAGAGAGATATAACTTTTCTATCTCTAACAAAAAAAATAAAAGAGAAGGAGATCTAACTTATACGTAAATTTACTATCTCTTTCCCTTTCTATTAAATCTGCTTCAAGTGGAGCCATTTCCAGTTTTTCTCTCCCAAAATTTGCTATCTTTCTTTTGTTTCTTTATCAGATTTTTCCATTCCCAAAATTTGCCATTTTGTTTATGTTTGGTTTTTTTTTTTTTTTTTTTTTTTTTTNAGTCTCGTTATAACACTTCAAATAAATTATTAGAACTCATTTTAGGTACGTGTAATCTCATGAAACGTAATCGTGAGTTGGCTTGTATTCCTTGATTATTACTCATGTTCTTAGTCACAATAAATTTGTCCATTTGAATGTTGTTTATGTTTTTTTTTTTTTTTTTTTTTTTTTTTTACTCCAATCATTTTGCAGTTGTAGGAGGTGTTTGGGAGATATTTGGGGAAGGTGGAGAGAGAGTCGACAATTTACTTTTTTTTTTTTTATTTATTTACTTACTATTATTATTATCTTTTTGTCATTACAATGAACGTGTCCATTATGATGACAATGATGATCATGTCTCGCATGACATTCAGGATCTACTGACCTCTGGACTTCACTATGGATAGCTAGCTTGACTATGATGGGTCCAAGGGGTGCGAACCGCTTGGAGATCCACACTCGCATGTGTGTGTCGTGAATAGGGAAGTACTACTCATCCAATTTTGTCCGGACTGAAGACCACCCCTATAATGGTTTTAACGATAAGTCTCTAGATCATGAATTGCATGTGTTTGCATTCCCTAACCCCAATAGTAGGGTCAAGTATTTCTTAAAATACTTAAGCCGTGTGTTACTTCAAGACCATGACACATGCATAGAGTAGTTGTACTTACTTTCTTAGACTTAGGTTAGAATAGAGCATTTTTAATTTTAACGCTTATTTATTTCATTTAGCATTTCGTTGTGTCGTTTTAAAGATGTTTTCGAACACGCAAGTCCATTGCAGTGTTTTAAAATGAAGTTTATGTTTTTTTTATAAAGTTTCAACGCTTATGTCGTTACAAAATCATTACGTTATGATGATGATAACAACTCTAGGTAAGTAAAATTTAGTGTCCGTTACAAATCCAAAAACAGGGGAACCATCATCTATTATGCACCATATACAAAGAATTTAGCTAACGAAGATCAAACTAGTTCAAAAACTCACCTTCGAAACTCTCCCTCTTTAGCTTTCAATCCCTTCACGAAAAAAGTTATCTTTGTTTTGACAGAGCTCCAAGAACATAAATCATTAAACTTGGTTGACCATAGAGGAAGAGTTTGGGCACAAAAGCTCGCAGTTCTTAGCCAATTCACTCCTCCTTCGATGTCGAACTCGAGTATCTATCTCCAAAAATCATCTCTATCGGACTCTTGGGCACACCTCAATGGAGTCACGAATCTGAGCACCAAGACTGTGTTCCAGTGCTGGCAACCTTTAATTTTTTTAATAATATTTTTACTTATTTATTCTTTAAGGTATGACATCGTCAAGGATCGGAATGGGTTATGAAGCACTAATGAGATTAGAAAAGAAATAGTTTCATTTTTATAATTTTCTAATTGTTCTGCGTTAGAGCATTGAGAGGATCTTTCCCTAGGACGAGAGGACCGATCTAAAACTTGAGATAATAGGTGTAATCCGAATGTCTTTCCATTCATTTCAAAACTCCGACGATCCCTTTGGTTGATAGAGTAATCCTTGATCGTATCCTTGATCGTACCCTTCACCCATCACAATTTTCTTCAATCTTTGGATCCTAAAACACACTATTCTGATTCCATTATTATAAAAGTGAATTCTGAAATATCCAAATAAATACAAATTGAAGGCACTTAAAAAATGCATATTACCCCCTTAACACAAACTAATTCTAATGGTGTAAACATATACTTTTTCGGGTGTGTACAATACAATGCTCCCTACCACAGCTCTAAAAGGATATTTGAAACTCGTTATGAAAGCTGAACAAAATATAAATTCACGAAAGCATGTCATATAAAATTCCACTCATACCTCACATGTGTAGATCGGAACCACCACCAGACGAACGATCAGATCCCAGATTTGGTTTCTGTGAAGTAAATAGATTCGGGTATGAAAAGTATGGGTCGTCATCCATCGATGGGAGCCTCTGCGTCTGATGAGGATGTGCTATGCGTTCTGATGGTGAATTACTGGGCGAGGAATCAAAACCCGATTTCTGTGGCTCAAGCTGGTGATGACCAGTAACGTCTAAATCACAGCTTACCCTGTGATGTTCTTTGAAAGAATCTTGTGAATAATATGGCATAGAATAATTCCCCAAAGAATCTTGTTGGAATGTTTGTTTATGATCAGGTGGAGTTACAGCAGCTCCGTGGAATGGATTCTCACAACTAACTTCAGCATCTCGATCATTCTTTTTCTTTGTGAGCTCATCGATTCTAACCTTCGCAAGACTGGCTGCAGAGCGAGCAGCCGCAGCAGCACGTTCAGCAGTTTCAGCAGCAGCCTGAGCAGCTGCCAACACATCCTGCAAATTCACACTGACATCCACATTGACCTCACTCTTTGTCCTTGAAACAGAGGGTGGTGGGGAATCTAGATTCTGCTCAAACTGTGGTTTGAAACCGAATTTTTCTTCAGGAGAAACAGAGGGACGTAGTGAATTTGTCTCCTCATGGGTCCTTGAAACAGAAGGTGATAGTGAATTTCTCTCCTCATGGGTCCTTGAAACAGAGGGTGGTGGTGAATTTATCTCTTGTTCAAACCGTGGTTTGAAACCAAACTTCTCCTCAGGGGTCTTTGAATCAGAGGATGGGCACACATCAGTTTGTCTATGAGAAAACGAAGATGACAGTGATGGCGGAGTAATAAATGGCAAAAACTGTTTATCTTCGCCAACAGAGACATTCAGATGATCGTTGCTGGGTGAAACAGATCTCACCTCCTCACGTTTCAAGTGTAAATCTTGAGGTGGGATTTCAGGAATAATACCAGAAGATTTGAATGAATCACGATCAGTTTCAGGTGGTGGGGATACAGATGGAGGTGGAATCAGTGGTTGTGCAGTGGCAGCATCAAAAGTAGTAGGAGGATGCAGAGATACTGATATCTTTGGAACTTCAGGAAAGTCTAACGGGTCCAATTCAGAATCAGAATCAGGTTGTGGAGCACTACCCAAATCAGGAGTAGCACTATATGTCTCGTCGTGTTTATCTTTAGGAAGGGGTAATTTCGACGCACTGACAAACTGCGCTGATCCATTCTGCAAGACAGAGAACAGAAACTAAGACACAAAGAGTCACCGCAAGTTGAGACAAAAAGGAACAACACTTACGAGCAAATCTTCTGGAGATTTGTTAAACTCAGCTTCAGTTCCAGCAGGATCCCAATCTAAGTCATGTTCTTCAGCGATTTCCTTTAAGAGCTTCAGTTTCTTTTCAGGTGAAGGAGCACGAACAGAAAGCAACTCGATCAACTGCAATCAAAATTGAGAGGAAATATGAAAATCCTATCGACTGCAGTAAAGCTTTTCATCCAATAAATCTAACATAAACAAGATTCTATGAACCTGACGGTTAACACCACAGTTAGGCATGAGCTCAGTTGCAGCTGATACAAATTCCTTCCCATATTTAGCTGCAAAAAGCAACTGAACCTGGAGAAGCTCTGTTAGATCTGCACACCTTGGAGCAGCAAAACACACACTTGAGATTGCTTCTTTCAAGTCTAGAGGACATTCCCTGAAAATTTCATGAGTTTACAATGACATTCGATACAAGCATAAAATAGAAGGGCTAAATGTTCAATACAACTACCATAAGCAACAAAGTGAAATTAGAATGAAAGGGTTCATTTGTACTTCATATAGAAGCATAGAAAGATACAATTTAATATCATACAAGTTTTTTTTTTGTCAACCAAATCTAATAGAGTCAAGTGGTTGACCAGTGAGATTAGTCGAGGTGCACCAATCCAGCTTGGACACTCACAAATACAAATAAAAATGAAAACAAAAATAAACCTGGAAATAAAGAGAGAATAAGATTAAAAGATTTTACAGTCATACAAATTTGGACATGAAGTTTTGAGTTTCAAGTAACTTTGGACAAAAGCTATTATCCAAAAAATGACGAAGATTTTCAACAAAAAAAAGGAGAGCATGGTGATTAAACCATAAAAATTGTAAATTTAAAAGTGCAAACTAATTCAGTTCCTTGTAAATTTAACAATCAACCTCGAAGTAAAATCAACTGCTACTATATTTCCAGTTTGCAAGGCTTGATGCTTCGAGTCATTTGGCAGAGAAGTTGGATGATCAGGTTGGACAACTAGCTGTAGTTCTTGTTAACAATGCACAATCTATGACTTAATTTCCATCATTGTGAGATGGATCTTCAATACTCCAAACTAGGGTGAAAGAATATTCTTCACATAATTCACTAAAATTCATTTTGTGCATATATCCATTCAAACTTAACCAGCATATTTCTAATGTTCTCTCTTATCAACCAAAAGAGAACATAGATGTATACTAACGATGGGTTATACAAACACGACAGTAACCCAAGAAAGAGAGAGCCACAAGCAATTTACTAATAGACGAGGAGTGAGGCCAAACATTAGGACAAATTCACTTCATTCAACAATGGGAAAGAATGGACCATAGTGTGGATACAACATCTGTGAGAAACTTTGACATCAATTACATATTTATATATGATGCAGCTTCTCAATTATCAGTCACACTTTATGAAGGAAATCTCTAACCAAATATAAACATATCTAATCATAGAAATTAAATGCTCCTAAAAAGATAGAAATCCTTTATACAACTATACTTGTAGAGAAGTCCAGAATTGATTTAAATTTTAGAACCGATTAAGAGATCTAACATCCTAGTCTAGTTTTGTCAGTTATGTGCATATTGGATAAATAAATGTTTCCTAGAATAAAATGTGTTTCATAATTGCCAAACATAGATTACAGGGTCCAGAAAACACTGTAATCTATTTAAATCAGTTGCATTCAGATCTTTCTCGTGCTTATTTACATAACCACAAGAAAACTTAAAAACCTCACAAAAACTTGAAGATTAAATCCGTTCGGAAAGTTTACCTTTGTGTTTCAATAATTGGGAGACGAACAACAATAAGCTCACAAAACAACTCAAGAATTTCCTGAGCAGCCATCATATTCTCTTCTCTGATTATATGCTCTACCTGAATGCAGCAAAAGCAGATCTAATTAAGACAACAAAAAGTTCCAGGACATCAAACAATTCCCTTGTTTCTGATCCTCCCGATCAAATGCACTTCAGAAAGTAACACGTACCCGAATGCGAGCCGTAGCTTCTTGACCCGTCTCAAGAAGCTTAGCTATGTCTCGGCGCATCTGCTTAAGTTGAATCTCCCTCCGATTCCTCAGCAACTTAATTCGTGGAATTGTCAATTTGAGCAGGGTTTTACTGTATACAGAGAAGAAAATTAGAATTAAAAAAAAAAAAACAAAAATTCTGTAATCGCATATCGATTGATGAATGCAGTCACCGACAGAATTAACAAAGAACGATGAGAGCGAAAATGGAAAAGGAAAAAAAGAAACCAGAATAAAAAGAAGAGATACCATTGGGCAGCCTTGAAGCCCCTGTTGAAGAAGGAGTTGAGCATCGACATGGAGATGAAGATCGAATGAAGATCAAAACGAAAACGCTTTTAAGCACGTAATTGAAGAACGACAAGAAACCGAATTAAAGAATCGAGAAGTGTGGAAGCTGTGATCGAGTTGAGAATTGGAAAAGAACTGGTGTCTGAGATGAAGAAACTGAACCTAATTATGAAGATCATCAAGTTGGAAAGACGATGGAGAGAGAGCGATGGGACCCGACCAGACGCGATATTTAGAAATTTTGTTGAAAAGTTGAAACCATACGACGCCGTATGCATTTGCTTGGAACGTCGTACGCGTGTTCGGTTCCAAGTACAAACTTTTCCTTAAGCCTGAAGAAATTTATTAAGTTGAGACGCAGATTTCTGCCATTTTCTTATTTATTAAAAAACAAAAGATTTTTTTTTATAATCATTTATTTCATTATTATTTTTTTTTATTTAGAGAATTGACGAGTTTACTTCAAATGTTATTCAAACCTTATCTAAATTCAAAAAAAAACTTAAATATCAAAGAGAGACTCATTCTGACACTTGACTCTAATAACAAGGAACATTTGATTGAGATTCAAATCACTCCACAAGTATGGTCGATCATGTAAAGCTTAAATAATTATAAACATGCAATCTAAACGACATAGCATTGCAAACAAACTTAGCCCTTGGCTAAAGAAAAACACAAATGTTCCTTCCCCCTACATTTTACTGACAATATTTTATATAGCCTCAAAATAAAAATTTTTAATTTTTTTCAAGGCATTCCAATAGTTGTAACTTTCCTATTTTAAGATCATACTCAAGTATTAGGTATACTCTGTGACTATAATTAACCACTCATGTAAATTTAACTTGAAAGTAAATAAAAAACTTAAAACACATTAATAAATGTAATAACTATAAATTATCATCTACCCAAATTTTATAAGAATGAGTGAAACTTTAATCTTTTTTAACGTGGCATGAATTGGAACATCTTGTGATAATTTGAACGACATTTTTTTCATATATTTGAGCCGCGACAAAATTTGTAACTTGCTATCCTCTTGCCTACGAGGCAAAGATTTACCTCTGGGAAAGGATGATTCATTCAGATCGACATGAGAGTTCAACTACATTGCATTGTCAAAATCCATGTTGTATATTTGAAAGAGGTTGACTTCCTTACTTCTCTCATGTTACAATCCTCTTCGGCCCGAGCTCCCTTTCTCCTCAATCCATAGAGACAAAATGGAGGACTGGTGCCAATAGTTCATCACAGAAGAAAGGACTCATTGAACCAAGATCACTAACTAATACTAATCTAATACTAATAGAATAGAAAAGAACTATCTTTTTTGTATACTTTCCTCGGTTCCATTGCTACTTCGGGCTTTACGCAATCAATCGGATCATATAGGTATCCCGATCTTGCATGATTGATGTCTTGGTTCATATCAAATGCATTATAAGAGTTGAAACTGGGCTTAATGGATTCGCGAGTGTAAAATCTACAATGTTGTAGTAGAAACCGAGAGGAGAAAATGAATACTTGGCAAGTTGGCAAGCGAGGGGACATGGAAGGAATTAACACAAAACATCTGGAAAAAAAAGAAAACTACAAGTTGCACGAGGAAGAAGAAGATCTCAGACGCGTGATATTCACATGCTCGAGGCCTTATAGAAAGCACGTTGCAATTTTCGATTCGTCTTGTTTGAATCCTATTTGCCTATTTGTCGATATCTATCCATATTGACCATAAAAATTATTGAATATAGATTTAATTGGAGGAAATTAGGAAGGAAGGACCGATTTAGGGATGTTCTAGGAGAGAAATTGCTATCGAAGCTTCTAAACAAGTTATAACGTGTAACATGTGCGAATCATGTGATTAGGGACTTAGGTTTGAGTTGTGATGTCCCACATTGGTTGGGGAGGAGAACAAACAACCATTCATAAGGGTGTGGAAACCTTCCCCCTAGCAAATGCGTTTTAAAGCCTTGAGGGGATACCCGAAAGGGAAAGCCCAAAGAGGACAATATCAGCTAGCGGTGGATCTAATGGTATTAGAGCGAAACACCGAACGATGTACAAGCCTTCTTGCTCTTCCCCGAAGGGGGTAGACACAAGGCGGTGTGCCAGTAAGGACGCTGGGTCCTAAATGGGGTGGATTTGGTGGTGGTCCCACATCGATTGGAGGAAGGAAAGAGTGCTAGCGAGGACGCACCTTCTACCAGCAGACGCGTTTTAAAGCCTTGAGGGGAAGCTCAAAAGGGAAAGCCCAAAAAAGACAATATTTGCTAGCGATGGATCTGGGTGGCCCCGAAGGGGGGTAGGAGAACAAACCACCATTTATAAGGGTGTGGAAACCTTCTACCAGCAGACGCGTTTTAAAGCCTTGAGAGGAAGCTCGAAAGGGAAAGCCCAAAAAAGACAATATTTGCTAGCGATGGATCTGGGTCGTTACATGAGTAATGTTATTTGCATGTATGTTCGCATGAGTAGAATACAAGCATGTTTGGGATTCGTGATTGTTACGTCTGGTGTGTGCTTACTAGTTTATGCTTATGATCCAATCATAGTATGTGTCATGTATGGAAAATACCCTTTTGTATGATGGTACGATGAAGAAGCCACTAGAAGTTCAACAAACGAACTCTAGCCATGATTAGGCCTTAGATAGGTTGGAAGGGCATGTCGCCCGTTAGTCTATTAAACCTCGCATAACCCGTTGGCTGACATGTTGAGCGTTAAGTTAGAGACATGAGTATTCGTGATCATTGGGTTACGAGCTATTTTAGACTACTATGAGAGTGTCTAGTAGATGGGTCCTATGTGACCAAGAGTGAATCTTACCTACAAATCCCAAATTCACAAGTATAAATAAATAAAATAGGTAAAGGTTAGTCAAAATACTGTGATACCTGCATTGATACCTAAAGATCCAAGACTTCATTGAAAAATGAAAAATGTACACCAAGAGAAGGAGGTCCGTCACTAGTAGCAATTCGAGAGGCGTCACAAGTAGAGAACTCGAGCTAAATCAGGGACAAGTTTTTTTCTCAGATAGATGAGAGGCGGTGTGAACTAAATGATAGTATGGATAAGTTGGAGACTTTAGAGTGGAGACTTTAGAGCTCTTGCTTAGATCTGAGTCGGTTGAACTAAGTTGTCTTGTTTTGAAACTAGTTGTTTATAATTATGTGATCTGACACTACATTGGTGTAAATATATGTAAATTGCCATGGTTTTCTTTTAATTAATATCAAAATATAAATTTTTTTTTTGGAAACAAATTTCACTCAGGAAGGAATCAGATTTTTTTTAATTAACTGTTGTACCTACAGCGTAATCATTTTCTTTTTTTAGTGAAACCAAGTTCTTTTCCTCTTGCCTAGTGGTGATGAACGTTTCCAATTCCAATATACCTACTCAAGTGTTTTAGGTGTGTCCTCTTCCAACACTTCTCTTGTAGCCTCGGTTATAGTAGTACTAATTTGAACCCAATCAAACATTCTCTTCCACTTACTCAAAAGTATTTGAGGGTTCTTGCACCCAATAAAAGTGTGACGAATATTTGGGAGATTTGTTTAAATAATTTTTTAGGTTAGAAAAACAAAAATCAATTTGATTTTAAAAGGTTGGTAGGGACACTAATTTGATTTTGTTTTTAAATTATTGCAATTCACATCATGATGCTCTCAATTATAAAAATATTGATTCGTGATTGTGTGTTAAAATGAGATATTGAACATGGACGTGGACGAGAGCAACATCACGAGCCGTTTTCGAAACAAGCTATTTCACTTCAAATTATTAAAAGTTTTGTTGCAACTCAGAATTAATAAAAGAAACTTCCAACTTACAAATATTAACAAGTGGGACATTTCAGTCATATGGTCGTATGGTGGAGAATCGCTGCGAGGGTCATAGAGAAGACAGAATCGTTGATGGAGCATATATTCTATTAAGAAATAATCACCGCCACTGTGTTCGCAAATCTCTCGGAGAATCTGTGAATCCATTTCCTTTTATTCTTTTTCATTGAAAGAAAAAAAAACTTGAGAAATAATGGGAGCAGAGAAGATCTACAATGGCTCTGTGGATTTGGGAGGAGTTGTAGGAGATGGAGAAGGCAACCCCGAGTCGTATCGGTTATCTACTCTTTCTGTCGACCTCTCTCTCCCTCTTCCCGCCATGACCCCTCGCATCATGTTCGTATCAATTCCTCTTTCAAATTGTTTTTGCGTGTTTTCCTACTTTTTTTTTTTTTTTTTCTTGTTTTTCTATGAACTTGATAGTTTCATCTCCTACCTTCTGGAGCTCGCGGAATGCGGTTACTGAAGCTAATTCTGTAAGATTGTTTGATTCTTTTTGTTCTGAATCGTTTTCTTGTTTTTCTTGTAGCGAGCTATGTAAGGATCTGCTCAACGAGTGGTCGGAGCTGGATAATTCTCGGTTCTCTGTTGAAACGGTATCTGGTGGAATCACTAATCTACGTGAGTGTTTGCTTGCAATGTGTTTCTTCGTTCAATTAGATGAAAGAAAGATTGTGTTCGAGGTTGCGGTTGTTACTGATTTCTTTGTTCCTTGTGGAATTTGTTTTTCTGACTTCTGCAGTGCTTAAGGTTACGGTGAAAGAGGAAAGCGGTAGTTGCGTTTCTGTCACCGTCAGACTATATGGACCTAACACGGATTATGTTATTAATCGTGACAGGGAACTGCAGGTGACTTGCGACGCTTTTTGATCGACTGTTGAGTGTTTAACTATCCGTTCCTTGTGTACGCTAAGTGTTTGGTTTTAGTCTGTGTTCTTTAGGTCGTCTTCTCCATTTTTCCCTCTGCCTTGGCGGGCATGGGGTTTCATCTTTTCGCACAGTACACCCTAGAACAATCTAATTGCATACTCTGTAAATCAAAAGCTAACCGTTCTTACCATGGAACGGTGATATATAGTGTAACGACCCAGATCCACCGCTAGCAGATATTGTTCTCTTTGGGCTTTCCCTTTGGGTTTTCAACGCGTCTGCTAGGGGAAGGTTTCCACACCTTTATAAATGGTGATTTGTTCTCCTCCCCAACCAATGTGGGACATCACAATCCACCCCCTTCGGGGCCCAGCGTCCTCGCTGGCACTCGTTCCTTTATCCAATCGATGTGGGACCACCCCCAAATCCACCCCCTTTGGGGCCCAGCGTCCTTACTGGCACACCGCCTCGTGTCTACCCCCCTTTGGGGAACAGCGAGAAGGCCGGCACATTGTCCGA